TTTTTTATTTTTTTTAAATTACACATGCAATTGTGTATGGCAGAAGGTTTTTGATCTCCCTGTCAGAATATCAATGAGAGCTCATGGGTGCTACGTTCTTATTCTCTGTGTTTTATGATTATCTGGAGCTTTAATAAAATTTCCTCTATTTGCGAAGCTTCTAAACAGTTATTTTCAGCATTGCTTGCAAAGCCTCACCTAGAATCAGACCTATAATTTGTACACATGGACATCATATTGTTTCCTTAAAGGCATAGCTCACCCCAAAATGAAAAGGCGTTCATTAGTTCTCACACTCATGTTGTTCCAAACAAAAATGACTTACTTTCTTCTGTGGAACATGAAGATTATTTGAACAATATTTTCTATACTATGAAATCATACTGTTACCTTGGATTGTCAAGCACGAAAAATTTCTAAAAGTTATCATAGAAGTCGTCCATATTTCCGATACTCTATATTCCAAATCTTCTGAAAATTTTTTATTTTTTTTAAATTACACATGCAATTGTGTATGGCAGAAGGTTTTTGATCTCCCTGTCAGAATATCAATGAGAGCTCATGGGTGCTACGTTCTTATTCTCTGTGTTTTATGATTATCTGGAGCTTTAATAAAATTTCCTCTATTTGCGAAGCTTCTAAACAGTTATTTTCAGCATTGCTTGCAAAGCCTCACCTAGAATCAGACCTATAATTTGTACACATGGACATCATATTGTTTCCTTAAAGGCATAGCTCACCCCAAAATGAAAAGGCGTTCATTAGTTCTCACACTCATGTTGTTCCAAACAAAAATGACTTACTTTCTTCTGTGGAACTTGAAGATTATTTGAACAATATTTTCTATACTATGAAATCATACTGTTACCTTGGATTGTCAAGCACGAAAAATGTCTAAAAGTTATCATACATAGTATTTCCGATACTCTATATTCCAAATCTTCTCACTAGAGATTCCTGCAACGCGCTTTCAGAGTTTCTCTGAAACCCTCCACCTTCCCCAGCTCCACCTGTATAGATCTGCTACGGGTTATTTTATATGCTATTTGTGCAGCAGCAGTATGTCTTAAATACTCATGGCACCGTATGGCCATATGCATTGGCAGTACCAAGTTCCTGTACTTACTTACTTAGAGCTGCACGATAAATCCAAAACCACGATGCGTTCATTAGTTCTCACACTCATGTTGTTCCAAACAAAAATGACTTACTTTCTTCTGTGGAACTTGAAGATTATTTGAACAATATTTTCTATACTATGAAATCATACTGTTACCTTGGATTGTCAAGCACGAAAAATTTCTAAAAGTTATCATAGAAGTCGTCCATATTTCCGATACTCTATATTCCAAATCTTCTGAAACTTTATGATGAGGAACAGACCCAAATTCTTTGTCCATTATTGTACTCCAGTCTCATACTTCCACATATTTAAATATATTGTCTCAACAGAGTGAATGTCTTTAAGTGAATAGCAAATTTTAATCTATTCCTCGCACAAATTTATCATATGACTTCATTTATAGTATATAAATCATATGGACTACTTCATTGTGCTTTTTGTCCTTTTTTAGAAATAAACGTAAGTCACAGAGTTTGCAACAACATGAGGGTGAGTAAATAATCATATTTGTCTGAACTATTGCTTTTAAAGTCATTATTTCTCCACTGCACAGTTGGACAATTGTGCCTTTTGAAAGACCTTCATATCTGAGGTTAAAATAAGCCCCCGGCACAAGCCCGTCTGCCCACAGATCACACACTTCCACACTCTGAACGGCCATGATTTTCACAGAAATGAAGCTGCGTTCGTGATTGAAACTGTGGCCACATTATTGCTCACCAGTGGTTCTGTGAGTGTGTACGTGTCTGTCTTGTGTGTTTTAATGACGCATACATCCTTTATCTGCAGCCTGCACTTAATCCCAGCACTGTTTGCTCAGGAACAGATTACTGACAGCAGATGTGATGAGAGCAGGGCAGGGGAACCTGACACACACACACACACACACACACACCTCCGCTTCTCATTATGACAGAACAGTGCAGCCATTTTCTCACTGCTCTGTTTGTTCTGCGCAACCATCTTTGCTCTGGTTATTGTCTCCTTCTCAAAACATTTCTGTGTTTGATGGTAAACATTTGTGATGTGAATTTCATGATCTTTGTGCATGCGTGTTCACAGGCTGAGCAGATCCAGTGGCTGGAGGAGGAAGTGTCCAGGCTGAAATCTCAGCATAGTTCAGTCAGTCAGCAGGTAACTATCTTTACTGGCCCACGCTCTTATTTCTGCTCTTTTGCCCCGTCACACATCTCCCAGTGTTACCCTGTCAATAGAACCATCACTTGAACTCTTTTCAACCCTCGAGCAGCTATTTTGTATCTAGGAAAATTAGCTAAGCTTATGTTTCAATAACACTAATCAAATGTAAGCAAATTTGTGACGCTGATCATGTAAACTCCTATGTACGGACAGTCTTGCTTTCATTGAAGCAGAAAATGAGTTTTACACAAACTTGTGAAGTTCGTTTAGCTGGATTGCTGCTGCCATTTAAGAAAATGGCCTCTAGTACAAGGGTTATTATAGTAAACTAAAACCATAAAAACATTTTGTTTCTTGAAATAAAATAAACATTAACTGAAATACAATGAAATGTTTAAAACACTTAAGCTTATTTTAGTTCAGTTAGTTGCCAAGAAAACATTTTTAATTTTCATTAAGTTTAACTTGATGTACTAAAATGACTAAAATTAAACTAAAAAGCAGAAAACAAATTGAATCTATTAATAAATCCTATAAAAGTATCTCAGTGGTATTTAAATAGCAAAATAACACTGGCTAGTACTCATACATTGTAATGAAAACTATAGCAAAAATAATGCAAAAAACTAAACATTTTAATAAAGGTCTCAGACCTTTGGACCACGTTATGTGTCAAATTACCAAAAATATTGTTTAAATTAGGCAAAAAAACTGTATGGTCCAGCAATTGCACATGCTTATGTACCAGCTTTCTGTGCATGTAATTTAAATCACACAAAAAAGTAAAGTTCTAAAATAATAAATAAAATAAAATAATGACATGTGATGTTCAAAAATCTACGTTTTCTTCGGTACATGCTTTCAGTACGTACTTTAAATAAAGCAAACAATAACTACAATAAAATACAGTATTTATATTAATATTAATATTTATACAACATATTTTGTTTATTTTATTTTATGACATTTTATATTAGCTATTTGTCAGGAAAACATGGACACATTTTCATGTATTTAGGTTAACTTGATGTACTAAAATAATTAAATCTAAAACAAAAAAAAATCTAAAGCTATGAACTATATTTAAAAACCAAAAACTAATAGCAGGTGAATAGGGATGCAGCACATTTGTTTTATCCAGCTTTATTTACTCAGTGCAACTTATAACATCCTAGTGAAAGATATTACACCAACGTCAGAAAAAAAAAACAGAATCACTGAGTTGGAAAAAGGATCACCCCCCTCCTAAAAATGACTTGTAAACTCTCAATGGCACACAAAGCCATTTGACTTTCAACTGTGATCAGCTGTGGTCATTTTGATCAGCTCAGCGTGAAAAGAGCTTTCCTGGAGCATTTCAGTCCTGGGTAGTGCAACTGAAGCAAACAATCAACTATGAGTAGCAAAGCACTGTCAAAGGATCTCTGGGATAAAGTTGTTGACAGGCACAAGTCAGGAGATGGATACAAAAAAAATGCAAAGGCTTTATCAATGCCTAGAAGCACAGTGAAGTCTATTATTAAGAAGTGGGAGGTATTTGGTAGAACACAGACCCTCCCTGGATCAGGACGTCGCTCCATCGTGAATGTTGAATGTTATACGTTGCACTGAATAAATACAGCTGGATAAAACAAAATCTGTGTCCGGCATCATTTCAGGCTGCAAAGCAACAAAATTTGATTATTTTAAAGGGGGTGATTCTTTTCTATACCCACTGTATATTCCAAATGTGGCAGATTTTAAATCATGTCATTCAGGGTGGAAATACTGCCAGAATCAAACCTGCATTTCCCATATGAGCACCAAGGCTGAAGCGTTAACCACTAAACCGCAATTCCAACTGTCTTGTGACTCCTAATGGTACTGAAATTCAGTCTCTCACACCTAAATCACAATCTCTGCCACATGACGCCATGGCATTTATTTTTCTCCCCACTCTTAAGTCTTTGATTCTTTGTGTCTCTCTGGTTGTGTCTTCGTAACCCTCCGTCCTCTTGGGGAAGCAGTGGGGACGGCTAGCCGCTTGAGCCCTCGTGGAGGTTAATGGTGACTCGGGCTCCAGGTGGGAGTAATCAGCTGTGTGCAGTCCAGCAGGGGTCAGCGGGTACCAGCGCTCCCTCCTGGAGCCCCTCTCGCTCCCTCCCTCGCCCCCCTCCTTCATCCGGCAGAGGAGTGTTAGGGCCCGGAGAGTGCCGAATGATTGCTAATAAAACATTTGATTGAGAGGAGAGCGGAGTGCCAACCATAAACAGGCTGGATTCTGCCCTTTAATTTCACCATCTCCAGAGAATTGCTTTTGGTGTGCCGCAGAGCGAGGCTTGTACACAAACAGTTAGTTGTCTAGCCTAGAACTGAAGATCTAATTTTGTTCACACGAGCGTGAGTGCGTGCGCACATTCAGGCGTTTGTCTATTTTGTGTTCCTGGGGACAAAAACTAAGGGCTTTTCATTTTAAATTCTCACTGCTGTAGATGCTGCCTCGACGCTGATAAGAAAAAAACAATCATTTCATACTGCTGAGAAAATTGGCCGTAGTGCGGCTAAGATGGCAACAGCCTTTCGCGGAACACGTCGGATTCTAATTGGCTTTTTCTGTCAGGTTGAATCGTGTTGCTGAGGTGTGTGTGTGCATGTACCTGACTGCATGCAGACAGTGTATTAATGCACCGTATGATTTACTAAATGCATTTTTTGCTGCACTCCCAGTATATAATCACCACGTTCCCCTGTAACATTCACAACACCAACAACAACTCAGAATTTCTGCATAAAACATGCTTGTGGGTGTGTGTGTGTTGGGCTCAGATGAAAGGTTAACGCAGGAGCATATATCAGACACTAGTGTGCAGTAATAAAGGGCCAGCTATAGAGCTGCTTCTCTCCTTCTGGGAACTGCGTGCATTTTTATAACCTCACTGACAGCAAGATAAAGTGCTCGTCCAATTAGAAAAATATTTGGACGCATACCTTCCTGCGAGAATCCCTGGCTTTTTTTATTCTCAAACCCATTTTATATGGAATCTTGGGTATTTTGGTTGTTTATTTTTTGCTCCACGAATGCGGCACGTGTGTTTTTGCCCTCACAGCATGTGTGCCGTGTTTCTCGCTTTAGAGGAGAATGTTCGCATGCATCCAGTTTTTGTAAGGGCTACGGTTGCAGATATTGCAATGCCTGCACTTCACGCTCACATATGCACCCTGATTAATTTTTCACCCTCGTCCATATTCTTTCCTCCTTCTTTTAAGAATAGATGCATTTTGGGGGGCTTTTCTTACAGAGTGCATTAAAATTAAATTCTCTCTTGTTGTGAAAGAGGCGCACGCTAAAAATAATTGGATGAGGGAGAGAACAAAGGGCTGCCTCTCCCTTGCGTGGCTGCATGGCCCAGCGAGGCGTTAATGCCGCGCCCGCCGCATTGTTCGGCTGTCTGCAGCCATCTCCCCAGCCAGACACTCAGCGCTGCTCAAGTCACTTTTAATGTCTGATAATCAAGGTGAATTTTCAAAAAGCTGCCATTTTCAAATGATGGTGTATATACTATGTGGAGATGGGGATTTTGAGAGAGGAGAGGGGCCAGCGGTGGGTGGCAGACGGAATGAGGGCCATGCACAGTGAAAGAGAGACACCTACTGGTTGCGGCCGGAACTGCCGGGGGCGCTGTGCAGGGGGTTTGATGGTTGCATGATTACATGACGGTAAATCATGTAGCTTACTTGGAAGCGACGGTGGAACATGGCACTCCTAGAATTGCGGTTTCTTTATTAACTGTATTATTTTTGGTACAGAGCAGTGAAAGACAGCCAGAAATTAGTAGCCGAAAGCCTGATCAGATTAGCCAAACGCTGCTTTTTTTTACTGCTCCACCATAATGGACTATGGTCACCAAACACATGGTACAGTAACTGCAAAAATAATTCATGTTTTCAAACTGTCCCTCCATCTGCCACTGTTCTCACCCCAAACTCCTCACAATGGCACATTGGTTTAGCCAGTGTTATGTGTTGGACTGCAAATATGCATGGGTTATGGGTTAAGTTTGGGGGCTTGTATCGAGTAGGTAGTGATATGTAGGCAGTTGAGTATGCCGTTGGTTTGGCAACATATTATCTACTAGTGTTATCTTTTTTTTTTTTTTCTACAGAATGTGTGCATCACTACTGCGGAACTAAAAACCATTTAGACTGGTAGAGTTAATGCCAATATGGGCAAAGTGCCCACGAGGAGGCAGTGTGTGGCCTGAGTCCTTCCTCTCTCTCTCTCTCTCTCACTCACACACACACACACATTTGACCCATTAGATACACGTAGAAGAGTCAGAGTCCTGTGCTATCTATCTATCTACCTACCTACCTACCTATCATTCGTCCGTCCGTCTGTCTATATGTATTTATATATATGCAATTATTTTGGTAAAATTGGTACTAACACTACAAATGTGTTTCTTCACAGAATGTTGAAGAATGTTTTCCCCCATCCCCCTTTTCTCTTTCTCATTCCTCTTCTCTGCTCTCCTCTTTGTATCCTTAAAATATTCCGCACATCTCGCTGCAGTTCCGCATGACAGACACCTCTAATATAATCTGTGTGTCTGAATTCTAATTTATACCGTCAGGATAAAATAAATAGTCTGCAGTTAATTATAGGGAGCCAGCGCCTGCCTTTGCCCGGGTGATTTATGAAGTGCGTGCAGGCATTCTCCAACGCATTTTTCTTAATTTATTTTTAATCTGTCTTTCTATTAATTCTGCAGCAAACGTCTTAATGATGTGCGAGGTGTGCGTTAATGAGAGAAGGTGGAAAGAGAGGAGCTGGGGGTGGGGTACAGGGGGTCTGGACCTAACAGGACCACACTTAGACCCCTCCTCCTTCACTTCTAACCCCCAAAAGCTCTCCCTGCCCCTCTCTTTTTCTCTCTTCATGTGTTTGCTTTGTTCTGTTGGCTCTGAGGCTGTCTGTGCAGTGTTGTAATGCCAGTAAAAAATAGTTATACCAT